AAATATTTAAAAGTGTGGGGGTGCCTTGCTAAAGTTCTTTTGCCTGAACCTAAAAAGAGAAAAATAGGTTCTAAAACTGCTGATTGCATGCTTATTGGATATGCTGAACATAGTGCTGCATATAGATTTCTTGTTTTAAAAAGTGATGTGCTTGATTGCAATACTATAATTGAGACAAAGAATGCAGAATTCTTTGAACATATTTTTCCACTATCTGATAAAATTTCTCATACACCTGTTGAATCAAATAATGAAATTACCTCTAATGAGGAACTGAGAAGGAGCAAAAGGCCTAGGAAAGAATATTTTTCTTATGGAAATAATTTTCAAACTTTTCTTGTCGATAATGAACCATCAAATTATTTTGAAGTTATATCTTCTTCAGATGCTAAATATTGGAAAGAGGCAATAAAAGTTGAAATTGATTCTATTAAGAAAAATAATACATGGATTTTAACTGATTTACCTCCTGGTGCAATGCCTATTGGTTGTAAATGGATTTTCAAAAGAAAATTTAATCCTGATGGATCTTTAGATAAATATAAAGCTCGGTTAGTAGCAAAAGGTTTTTCTCAAAAATAAAATATAGATTATTTTGATACATTTGCACCAGTGGCTAGGATTTCTTCTATTCGAATTTTAATTGCCTTAGCTTCAATCCGTAAGCTTTTTATCCACCAAATGGATGTGAAAACTGCTTTTCTAAATGGTGATTTAGAAGAAGAGATTTATATGGTTCAACCTGAAGGTTGTGTCATTCCTGGACAAGAAAATAAAGTTTGTAAATTAATTAAATCTCTTTATGGCCTTAAACAAGCTCCTAAGCAATGGTATGAGAAATTTGAACAAGTCTTACTGAGAGACGATTTTTCTTCAGTGGAGGTGGATAAATGTGTTTATACTAAAGTGGTAGACAATGATTATGTGATAATATGTTTGTATGTTGATGACATGCTTATATTTGGTACAAGTTTAAATATTGTGCAAAGTACTAAATTATTTCTGTCTGCTAATTTTGATATGAAAGATCTGGGTGAAGTAAATATGATATTGGGAGTTAAAGTTATAAGGAGTGAAGATGGCATAATGTTGTCACAAGAACATTATGTTGAGAGACTTCTTAAGAAGTTTGAATATTTTAATGTCACATCTGTGAGCACTCCTTTTGATGCTAACTCTGAGTTGAAAAAGAATAATGGTGACCCAGTTGCTCAGTCTAAATATGCTCAGATTATTGGGAGTTTGATGCATTTAATGAATTTTACAAGGCCTGATATAGCCTATGCTGTGTGTAGATTGAGTAGATATACTCATAATCCCAACATGGAGCATTGGTCTGCATTAGATAGACAAATGAAATATTTGAGAGGAACCATGAATTATGGTATCCTATATAGTGGATTTCCTTCTATTTTAGAAGGGTACAGTGATGCAAACTGGATCTCTGATTCAGATGAGACCAAATCCACTAGTGGTTATGTATTCACCCTTGGTAGTGGTGCAATATCGTGGAAATCAGCTAAACAAACGATCATTGCTAGATCGACTATGGAATCAGAGTTTGTAGCTCTGGAGTTAGCTGGTTCTGAGGCTGAGTGGCTAAGAAACTTCTCAGCTAATATCCCTTTAATAAAGGACGTATTACCTCCTGTGTCTATACACTGTGATTGCCAAGCGGCAATAGCTATAGCAAAGAATAAATCTTATAATTGTAAAAGTAGACACATGAAATTGAGACATGATGTCATAAAGCAGCTGCTGAGAGATGGAATAATTTTCATTGATTATGTGAAATCAGAAGTTAATTTGGCCGATCCTCTGACTAAACCCGTGGGAAGAAAATTAATTCTTCAAACCTCAAAAGAGATGGGGTTAAGGCCGGCATGTTGTCAATAGAGATGGTAACCCAACCTATGTGATTGGAGATCCCATGAAGTAGGTTCATATGGGTAATAACAAGTCAATATTGGCACTGATGCACTAAAAGAGAGTGCTTGACTGCTACTAATTGAGAGGCTGAGTTATAACTCTTAATGAAATTCATAGTCCTTATGGATGGTATATTTAAAAGCAGTATAAATTTGATGAATTCACCTATATGAGAGTGGAGTGGGCCGCTCCTATGAGATTTTGGCCTAGTCTCTAAAGCTCTCATGAATAACCAGGCACGCGCATGGCCTATTGGGCGCAAAACCGCGTTGAACAGCAAAATTACCGGTGGTCAAAATGTGATTGATAAAAACTCTGACTTACAATGAGAGTTATTGGTTCATAGAAATATTATATTTCACCAGTAATTCTGTGAGTTAAATTTTTATTGATCTAAGTTTGGTTCATAGTCCAGAAGACACCAAACCTATTACATTTAGACCATACAAATCCAGCAAGTTTATTTTTGAAAGTCTTTAAAATAGTGGGGGACTGTGGCAATATTTTAAAGCTTCTTGGGACAAGTGTTTTAGGCCTTCTAGAAGGCTAAGATCAGTGGCAAAAGAAGACTGAAAAGTGGCAAATGTTCAGCCACGTTGTTACCATGCAAAAGCCAAGTTTCATGCAACTTCAACTATAAAAAGGCTCTCACTTGACAAGGAAAAATCATCAGCAAAACAAGCATCATTCCTCTCCTTTTCTTTCACTCCTTCCTTCTTCTTTTGTTGTCCAATATTAAATATTGGTTGTTTCCTTTCTTATTTACTTTTCCTACTTGCTACCTGGGTTTGTAATATTTAATTTTGCTGATTCCTGTATCCTCTATCTAATTAGAGATAGGCTTGTTTATCTTGGGAAAACATTTCATATTGCTAAAATAGTTTCTTAGGACAGTGCCCAGCACAACTCAAGCCAATTGGTGTATTTTCTCTCACAAATAATATTATTGCAGTATTATTATTATTGTTGTTATTTTCGGTATCATTTTCCTACATTATATCAGAGACATAGTTCAGAGTGATCAAAACCACCTAAGAGTAATAGCACATGATAGCCAATTATTTAGGTTCTTGTGATGCAAGTTTGAGAACCAGTTCTTGGACTAGTTTCTAATTTGTATATTGAAGAAAGAGACGCGGTCAAATATAGAAAACTCAAATGTCTAAAGGCAGTCCGGTACACAAGGTATCCCATATCCGGGGAAGGGTCGCACCCCAAGGGATAGATATAAACAATCTACCCTAATACAAGTATTAGTGGTTGTTTCCACTGCTCGAAACTCAGACGCTCACTTGGATAAACAATTAGATAACTGTAGAATTCTGTAAACAAGATAGTTTTACCTTGCTACATCACCTCTACACCTTAAACTTTCACTGATATATCTTCTAATTTGTGTATTATGAACAGGGATGGATCTAGTAAGGCCCGAAGGGGTGGCATGCCAACCGAAGTTTCGGTCGAAACTCGGTGTATATATGTATATGTATGTAAAAAATCGTATATATATTTAGGTACCACTCAAAATACAAATGATACAAAGGTGCCAGTGGCAAAGGGTAGGAGATTTCCACCTTGTGTTGGAAAGATCGAGCCCCACTAGCAACATTTATTGGACTTTTTGGTTTGCTACATCACGTTAAGCTTTCTATCATTTTATATATTCCATTTTCTTTTTTCTTCTTCTGTAAATATTGTTACTATCTTACTTTATTTATTAACTTTTGACTTTCTCTTTGCGTCTCTCTTTTTGTGTCTCTTATTAATTAAGTTTTTACTTTTTTCACACAAAGTTAAAATAATATTTTTTTTTTGCAAATCTTCACTCTATCATAACTATAGTACTATATTTCCGTTCAACCGATTTATATTATAAACCAAAAAAATAGTAATTCGAACCAAAGTCCAAAGTTGCTAATCCGACAAAATATTTACTCTATCTCAACGTATAAATAGCGGTGCATGGATGGTCAAAGCTATGTGGCACCTGGTAGCTTCAAATCCTTGATCCGCCTCTTATTATGAATGACTATCTTTGTTTTTTTTCGTTTTTGGGTGAAAAGGGAACAGTAAGTTTTAAAAGTAGAGAGCATTTTGTTTAAAAGTGAATAAGAGAGAAAGAATTACAAAAAAAATACAAGCGACTTCACACCATAACAAAAAATGACCCATGTTTTTATGTTTTACTCGACTTAGCCCATGTTGTATATATTTTGAAAGCAATAGCAAATTCAAAATCTGTGTTCTTACAACCATTACTTCTAAAAGCTATGGAGTTAAATCTGTGTTCTCACAACCATTGCTTTCACTCTCTTTTCTTCTCACATCTTCTACATATGCTTTAAGGGGTCGTGTATTTTCTGCTTCTCACTGTGTCACCCGGTTGCAATGTAAGAAAATTGAAGAGTAGAAGTCCACCATTGAAGGACATTCAAAGCTTTGCTTTCGAAAATAGGATTATTTGAGTTTGTTAGTTAAATTTAAATTTGAAGTGATTTGGAGTAGATTTGAGCAAGATTTGAGTTAAACTTCAGAAAAACGCAAGGAAGAACACGAATTCAGTTTTTTGTATAATTATGTATAATCTTGTATAATAGTGTATACGAGTGTATAAACACATCTTATACACTTTTATACACCTTTATACAAGCGTCTATTGACGAACTTCTTCCACGATTTTCAGTTGCAATTCTTGTTCAAAACCAGTCCAAATCTCCATTAAATGACTACAAATTTTATATACAACCTTCTTATACTATTTATAACAAGTCTAAATGATACCCACTACAAATTTCTTACAAAATCAAATTCGAAATTTAAACTCACATATTTAAGCTTGTTAAAAATCGAATTTTCACCACCCAAAATGGATTTGGTTTGTTGAACTATTATTTGAGTCACAGTTACTGATTCGAAAATTAACTTAAAATCTTGAACAATCTTTTTAAAAATTAAATAGTAATTTCGAACATATTGGAGCTGGATGTTGAATTGTAGCCTATTATTTTTAGGCTAGTTGGTTGTAAATTAAAATATGAGCTATAAAATTGAAAAATAGGGAGCCCGTGAAATTTTCCCAATAAGAGAAGTGTTGAACACTAAAGCACTTGTGAAACAAATTGGTGTATACAGATGAATCAAAAGCACAATGTAAAAACTAATAATAATAATGGGAACATCCCAATTCTTCCTAAAATGAAGACCCCTCTAATTCATCTGGGGCTTCTGCAGATTTTCTACAATGTAAAAAATCAGAGGCTTAAGGTGTAAAGACTAATAATGGGAATATCCCAATCCTTCCTAATATTTGTATGAATAGTACCCCTATAGAACATAAGTCATCTTGGGCTTCTGCAGATTTTCATCTCCGTAAAGCAAGCGTCTCGTCCTTGAACCGTAATACATATAGATAATGCTCTCAAGGCAATGCTTTATACACGAGACATCGTAGGTCTCCAGATATCTCAAGTCCGTTTCCCTCCACTTTGCGCCAGCAAAATGCTTGTACTCCTCCACAACAGAAGAAAGACACCAATTCTGCAATTTCCTCAGGCACCCGACTAGACAACCAGTTCGATGCTGCATGACAAAGTAACGTACACGTTACAACCAAAAGGACAGGAATCAGCAGAGTTGTTAAGATGGGGTGAAATATATCTGGATATTTCACTTGAAAAAACAGAAACAAGGACAAAACCAAATAAAAAGACTCAAAAGTCCAAGATCCATCGATCTTAGTTTCTATGAGGAGAACATGATGGATAAAATAGTTATTTTCATGATTCTTAAACCATCTCTAGGCATTGACAATTAGCCAATAACAACAACCTTGCCACATTTAATCAAGACAGATCACAAATCATCTTTCAAAGCATCACGATATACTGTAAAGCCACCTAAATCTGTCCAAGAAAGTCCAAGATCCAGTCTTATTAAGCATGAAGGTATCGGCAATGATAACCGAGATTTCATGAGGAAAACTAAATATTTCAGACCAATGATACAGAAAGTTGGATCAATATGATAAGGGTAATTAAAAACAAAAGCAGCGCCCAAAAGAATTATCAGTAATGCAGATAATGATTAGTTCATCATTCAAGAGCGGCATACAAGAAGATGTTATTAACGGCACCTAAGCTGGTATGGTTGCACAGACTTGCACAGATGCATATAAATGCACACACAATAAGGAGAATATTAGGACAAGTAAGCATAAAACCAAGATGAATAGTGTCGAAAATCACAAAAGAGCTCTCAAACTACAATGAACTTAATGTACCTTCCCGCGCTTGCAGTGGATAAGAACTGGATGATTTCTAACATCTGCAGACAAAAACAAGACAATAAAAGGGTCAAATTTCAAATACAAATGATAGCCCTAATAGCATGATAAAGCGAATACGAAAAGATTTTTATACCAATTAACACTTTCAAAGCCTCAGTTATAGCATTCCGAGACATAGCTGCTGGCTCCTGGAGAAGAAAAATTCTTTTAAATTCTGAATCTTACCTTTACAACAAGATAATTTAATCATAGCATTTAAAATTCCATATATCAAATCATAAACACCAAATATGGCTACAATAGAACCAACAAAGTACTTTGCAAATTATTTTCTAATCTACCCATCCAAAAAAGAAACCCCCAAATAGATTTTTATGTACATTCATATTGAATAATACAACAACAACAACAATAACAACAACAAAAAACCCATTGTAATCCATCAATATTTAAGGTATGGGGACGATAGTGCGTACGTAGACCTTAACCCTACCTAGTAAAGATAGAGAGGCTGTTTCTGATAGACCCTCGGCTCAATGAATACATTCATATTGAATATAACCAAAATAAATAAAGATCAAAAGGCAACAAAAAGAAATTATTCCAAATTATAGAAAACAAGAAAAGACTAATACCTTAGTACCATCTATCCCGAATTGGAAAAGGTTGATATTATTAATTCTAAGAAACTCTAAATTCTCTTCAGGATAAGGCTCCGGACATAAATATCTGCAAACAAACAAGAAACCATCAAAATCAATAACCAAATTTTCCAAAATCAAATAAAAAAAAAAAGAATATTAAAAAAAGAAAAATAAAGACTAACATTATGGAGCGTAAATTGAGAGAATGAAGAAAGGGGAAATTGCAGGGCTGAGGAAACCCAGATCTGTAAATGCAGTTTTCTTCTACTACTGAGAAATTCGCCGGTCCAACCAACACTTGTTCTTCCAAAATTAAACCCATTAAAATTATCAAGTTATCAAATTTTTGTTCTAAGATTTCAGAAAATACAAAAGTATTGATAACAATATTTTCAAAGATAATTAAGCTTTATCCCCTCTCCTAGAAGAAGAGGGAAAGTTACTAATTTCGGGTAGGAATAGGAATTTGATGTTTGATGGGATTCTTGTGGACTGCGCATAGGTTCCAATGGGAACTATTTATGGAACTTGTACTTTCTATTTATGTTTATTAAAGGGTAACCCCACAATTATCCACTTTCTTTTTTTACCTTTCAATTTTACTTTCTATTTTTAAAAGTTCTTTTTCAAAACGATGAGTTTTTGTTTTGGTGTTTGTTACATTAAAATAATTGGGGATGCCAAGGACATTTTGTGGATCGCTAAACAATTATAATATTTAGCTAGGCAAATATATATATATATATATATNTTAGAAGACTGTGCTGTTGGGCTCGTATTTATGTTCCGACGCCCGGCACAAGTCTTAAATATGAGTTAAGCAATTTCAGTGAAGTTTGGTTAGATTTGGACGTCATTTGACGTGTTTTGAGCAAGAAGCAGTAAAATTTGATGTTTCATGGCAATTGGAGGGAAATCATGGGTCTTGAGGCCTTATTCGATGTTGTAATTGGGTCGGGTCGGATATGGTTCGGGTTGAAACCTGATAATGAAAAAAAACGGATCAATTATCCGACCCGGTCCATATTTTAATACGGATAAAAAACGGGTTAACCGGCGGATAATATGAGTAACCATATTATCCATGACTTCTTGCATATGAACTTTTGGGAGAATTCTTAGTCTCCCTAACTTGAGAAACCCCCAATTTGAGGCTTTACAAATATAAAAGTTATACCCTGTTTGGCCAAGCTTTTTTTGGCCAAGCTTTTGGAAGGAAAAAAAAGTGCTTTTGAGGAGAAGCAGAAGCACTTTTGGAGAAGCAGAAAAAAGTAGCTTCTCTCCAAAAGCACTTTTTTGAGAAGCACTTTTGAGAAAAATACACTTAGAAGCAGTTTTTTAAAGCTTGGCCAAACACTAATTGCTGCTCAGAAGTGTTTTTCAAACTAATTAGCCAAACACAAACTGCTTCTCACCAAAAGTACTTTTGAGAAAAGCACTTTTGAAAAAAAACACTTCTTAAAATAAGCTGATTTTTGCGGCTTGGCCAAACGGGCTATTAGACCCATTGGTTATCCATTGGTAACCCATTGGTTATCCATTTTCTAAATGGATAATATGGTTCTTATTCATATTTGACCCGTTTTAAAAGTTTATTATCCACCCCATTTTTTAGTAGATAATATGAGTGATTATCTGTTTTCTTTAACCATTTTGCCACCACTAATTGCAATATTCCTTATCAAATGGCCATTCTATAAACTTATGCGAGCTAGCCAAAGAAATTCAGATACAAGATGGGCTAGGTCTAACGATCTGTCATTGGCAGGGGTGTATTCAGTATAGAGACTATAGGTTTATTTAGCTTTCATTCATATCATGTATATTTATCAAAAAATTCAAATCTTGGATACGTCTCGGTTCATTAGCTGTGGAAATAAATCAAGTTTCCTCCTACAAATTTTTTCAGAATATAAAACATATAGTATTATATTAATGATTTCATATCTCACGATATTTAGTAAGAAATAGTAAAAACATGAATGTGTTCAAGTAGTTTACTGTCTTTCAAAATTAAAGCAAACGTTATGTTGATGTCAGATGTCATTTATTTATTGATTAAATAAATTAAAATATACTTTAAGTTTTGGTGTGGTTTGGTCAAAGTTAGTGTGCTTTGGATGCATATGGTATCTGAGTGACTGATGACATAGTATATAATTTACAAAAGAGGGGTCGTGGAATTAGTCTACTTCTTTTGAATGTTCTCTGAATCGTATTGACGTTTTGACAATGTTGTGACCAATTAACTTTAAATAGAAAGCTTTCGCCCAACTATACCTTATTAAAAGAACTAAGCGGTCGTTGCAAATATAATCCAGTTTACAAGTCCGGAGTCGAATCCAACAGAAAATTAACGTACTAATCACAACTGACAGTTTCGTAAGAATTCAAGTAATCAACTTTAAACATATTGAATAATGAGTAGAGTGTTTACTAACTAACAACAAGGTAAATAAAAAGTTGTAATTTTATTACTAACAAAGCAAATGTTATAGACAAGATTGGAAAGGTCTAGGGTTACGCTTTCCCCTCTTATCGGACTCCTCTCTGTTACGTCTCCTATAAATTCGCCTAGATACTTTCTACCGATCGTGAGCACTTTAGGTGTCGTAATTCTCTTCCGAGCAAATACAACAATTTACTAAACATATTCTTCCGTACTACGCTAGCTAACACTAGTTTACCGCTCACTAAGATCGCACCAAGGTTTCGTTATTCCTAATCCCACCTTTAAATCCTCCGTATTGATCCCTCAAATACGTTAGAAGTGATGTTGTTCAACAACTACCTAAATATGTACCCTTTTCCAAGTAATACACACTAAATAGGCATAGCCGATTGAGGGCCCTTCAATCAACCACAATATTCACGTAGTTGAACAAGTAGAGAAAATCCAATGGCAAATTTATATTAAACGGAACAAAAATTCATCCTCAAGAGGTTCCATCAAACCCTAGAATAAAGAGTTTAGCTACTCATAATTGTTTCACATATACACTATAAGAATTCATCACCAATAATAGAAAAGGGGAGGAAGAAAGATAAAAACTCGTTTCTGAATCTTTCGTCTTGCTTCTTCCTTGTTCTTGCCTTCAAATTTCTCCTAAAATCCAAGATACCCTCTTTTTGGACGAGCTGGGCTTCATATAGGTCAAGGGAAGTCGCCTTCGGAATTACAATTTTAGCCCTGGAATATTTTTTCTCGGAAGGACGTGCGCGGCCACACACCTGGGTAGGTGACCGCACATCTGGCCGCGCACTCTGGCCAGTTTCTGCTTGACTTGCGCGGTCAGTGCACGGCCGTGCACCTGGGCAATTTTCTGCACTCTTCTTCGTTCTTCTTTTTAAGTGCGCTGACCTCCTTTGATTCTCGAATGAACTCCCAATTTACTCCATAAGCTTTTACTTGGCCTTCAACGCTCCATATTAGCTCAAAAACGCTCCCTAACTTCATTGTATACCGGAATTGCTCATGCAAAGCATAAAGTACTCAAGTCAGAGCAATTTACTACCATTTAACGCTCAAACATCAGTAAAGTGCAGCAAATTAAAGTGCAAACAGTGGCCAAAATACATAGTTATAGCCTACCATCAACACCCCGCACTTAAACCATTGCTCGTCCTCGAGCAATCAAACCACACTTTACATAGACGCAACCTCACTAAGCGACTTTCCTTACTCATCACACCAAGAATATTTAAAATAGACTAAGCACAATAATGTAACATCTTCACCTCAAGAATTGACTCACAAGCACCACGCATTATTCACAACTTACTCACGTACTCTAACACAGAGGTCAAGAATTACCTTTCCTTCATGAATCAACTGCCCTCCCATAACAAAAGAGAATAGTTCCACATTCAATAAAATTCAAGAACAACTAGGAACTCAAGATAGAAAGAATTCACTCACTCTCAGAAACCACATTCATGTGCCACAAAAGATGCACCATAGGCTTGCCCGTGGTGTACTACTCCAATAATTGAATCATTCAGTCAAGGATCAAGTAGGACTTTTAACTGGTTGTAATGTAGGTTGCGGGGTGGGTAGGATACATTTGGATATCAAAGTGGCTCTACCTCCCTAAGCACTTTAATAATATACTTTAGCAGTTAAAACCCCACACTTATGTCAAACCATAACTCCACTTTCACATCAATATACATTAACTCCCAACTATTTAAGCACTTTTACATCAAGAGTCACCACTATTTTCACAACAATACAACTCTCTTTTTTTCTTTTTTTCTCCAGTACAGGTGACTCTTACTTTTTTCAAAACATTGCACCATTCTCCTTATTTCACTAGTTCCACTCAAAAGCCGAACCAACTACTCCACACTTCAACTTTTACAAAGTTCATAACAATTATAAGTGTTCATGGGAGGTAAATGGTTCAAATAGATGGTCAATTCAAACAAAAGGAGTAAGGCTTGTAATGTAGTTGCCAACAAAACAGGATTACAGGCTCAAAGGGGTTAACTAAGATACATAATAATTAGGTGGTAAAAGCATATCACTGGCTCAACAAAAAAATGCCTATATCACTTCCTAGACTGAACAAAACTAATATTTCGCTTTGCAAACACACGGGGCAAGTTTATCACGACCCGGATTTCTCACCCTCGGGAGTCGTGATGGCGCCTACTAATAGGAGCTAGGCAAGCCAACTTAATTTACTTCTTTTAGCAATTACCGTCCATTTACTGAAAACAAAACATAACATCATAAAGCGGAAGTCTCAAATATAACTAACTGAAAGAAATGCGGAAGTTTAACAAAATCCTCTACCCAAGACTGGTGTCACAATACTCACGAACGTCTAGAGAATACTAAATACAGGGTGTGAATTAAACATAAAACTATCTGTTTCGGTACAAATGATAACAAACTAAATAAAACAGAAAGGGACTCCGAGCCTGCGGACGTCAACAAGGCTACCTCGAACGTCCCTGGACCAAAGCTCACTCCCAGAATGCTACTGCTACTCAAATGCTGTTCCAACACCTGGATCTGTGCAAAAAGATGCACAGAGTGTAGCATCAGCACAACCGACCCCATGTGCTGGTAAGTGCTCGGCCTAACGTCGGCGAAGTAGTGACGAGGCTAGACCAGACTACCAAATAATGCCTGTGCAGATATATATACCAGTACAACGAAATAATAGCGGAAAGTAAACAATTAGAGCTGAGAGGGGGAAACATGCTTATGGGGTAGTAGATAAATCAGAATATCAGGAATAACAAAAGAAGAACTACATCTGATTTCTTCTAACACAGAATAAGGGAAAACAAACCACTTTCACTTGTTTCAATTTCCTCACGTGGTAGGCGTACCACTCGATCCGATTTTATAATATCACGTGGTAGGCGTACCACTCGATCCCATTTCATAATATCACGTGGTAGGCGTACCACTCGATCCCATTTCATAATATCATGTGGTAGGCGTACCACTCGATCCCATTTCATAATATCACGTGGTAAGCGTACCACTCGATCCCATTTCAT